TTGCCAAAATCCATATGGGCAAAATCTGGCAGCTATCTTGGTGTAATTAGGGCTGCTGCTCCAAACTGGACCTTATTCCATATCTAAATGAACAACAGGATCCCTGTTAGTGGCCAATGGTAGTTGCACCATCTGCCCAAGTGATACAGTCTGCAGCAAGCGATACAATGGTGACATTGTACCATTTAATGTAAAACATAATTAGTATTATTGTTCTTAACAGTACAAGATAATTGGGAGTTGAAGACCGCAGATGAACCTGACACCCTCTGGTGGTGCACCACAGGCTAATGAAGCTCTCTGTGCCCAGGACAGATGTCAGGCCAAAGACTAAGATCATCAGCTCATTCACGGCTGCTGATTACACAACCAGACTTTTAGTTTCAGGAGTGAAGTTTTGAAGGGTATTGAAATGCATTTTAATAAATGCTGTAAAAATATATTGTTCATTGTTAGTTCATGTTAGTTAATTGAGTAACTAATGTTAATGATCCTTAAGCATTTTTTTTATTATTTTAATGATCTACGAGCATTTGTGAAATAATTATATAAAACTATATTACCAGTACAGTACATATTAGCTTATTCTATGTATTTGTTTGTCATTCTAACTAATGGAAATTGAGTTTAGAATTTGCTGTTAGCCCCCAGAGCATCAAAAAATCATGAAACTAAGCATGTTTCCTCAGAATGACAGAAAGTTGCTCTGTTTGATGAGAACAATATATGTACTGAGTTTGGTGACTAAAGCAAACCCTTCTCCTTCAATTAACAAACTGCTGAAGTTTGATCAAATTCAGACAATGTATGCTGTATCTTTAGTTATAACACACTTCCTGTTTCCCTGTCTTCACCATCAATTTGTTGCCTCGCCACAGCCAAACCGTTCGAGATATCAAAAATCCCGTTACAATTTAGCATCCCCAATGTCTTGAGATCATGTTGACCGAGTTTAGTGGCAATTGGATGAAAAACCTAGGATGAGTATATCAAATTCCACAGCATGCACTTTTCACAAAAACCTGAATAGCCAACTTCCTGTTGGGTGGAGCACTGTGCCCCCTAGTACTTGGGCCCTAAAATTTCTACTTAAAATCTGATCTATTCCTCACATATAGCTATCACAAGACTTTGAACACAAAGTATGAGTTGTGTGGAATATTTTTATAATGGTGCATTTTAGAGTTTAACGTTTCCATACCTTATTCACTTTCATTGCAAAGTGGCCAAAACATGCTGCAAAAATTAATTTTGTGTTCCACAAAAAGATAATTACAGTATATGTGGAAGATGAGTACTGGTAAATAATGTCAGAATTTCACTATCCCTTTAACACGTCGCATACTCTTTAATGTAGAACTGATGGACGGTGTATAATGGTAAAGCATTAAACTGATTCATCATTACACCTGCATTCTACATTTTATTTATAATTTACAAATTACATAAAAAGCAGCATCCCTCCTCAACTTATCCTTTCATATATTTTGACTTTTTATTCTTTTCTATTTAATGAATTCCTGTTAACTCTGCAAGACAAAGCCCTCACAATGACCGAGATGCCACCACATTCTGGGAGGTCGAGGAGTAGCATATGTGTCGCCAGAAGGAAGTCAGCTGTGAGCTCCTTTACACGTGTTGCCTAAAGGCAGATCCACACTGATTGTGAATACCCAACATTCTACACCCTTGTGTGTGTAAGTATTTTGGTTACAAGTTACCTTTACCTATCAATAATAATGCAGTACTCCTCACCTTAACACGTTTTACCATGATTTTACCTCAACATCGGCGCCAAGTAATGCTATCACACAGATTCTGTCTGGGCACGCCAGTGGCGAGGCCAGAAATTTTAAATTGAGTGGACCTAGATAAAACAGGGTGGACCTCAGTGCCTATTTCAAAAATCATTTTACAATAGCCTACATGAGATAAAAATAAGGATGCAAATTTCGTGTGATTTTTGTGATCGGAACGACTTTATAGTCTGGTAGTGTATGATCCTCAGTCGTTTAATGTATGATAGCCAGTTTTTCCTCTGTGACTATTTACAAAGTCGGTGAGTGTATGATGCCTAGTGTTTTAAAATCTGGTCAGTATTCCAGCATGGAACAGATTTTAAAACGCTAGTCATACATTTACTGACTTCGTAAACAGTCACAAAGGAAAATGGGACAATGACTAAAGACCAATCGGGGACTGTTTTACAGCGGGAGCACGCTTGGATTGGATTGATCGCTTATATTGACAGCTCTTGCATTCGCAACAGAATAGAAGCGCAAAACTGGAAGATCAGTGCTCATCCACCAGGATCTTATTACTACTTATTTTTTTCTTTTACTTGTTCACACATACAAGTTGTTTGTATGTTCATGTATTTGAGCAATTATTGTAATGTATGCAGGATTTTTCTTATTTCCTCATTTGATTGGGCGGGCCAGCCGAAAAATCACTGTAAGAGTGACCCAGTGTAGCCTCGCCACTGGGTCACTCTTACAGGCCTCAAAATAGCATCTCATCACCATTACAACTGTTACTGTGATGGACAAATTGGATCATCCACACAAATACAGAGCCAATAATGGTTTTTATGAAATGTGCAACCATGTTATTAGTTAGAATGTTTAATTGCACAATTACTATGTGCAGTTGAGTTGAATTGAATCAAAACTAGCATGTTTGATGTGAGATTTAATCTTGCTTACCCTTGATCACCCTGTCACGGCAAAGAGGAGTCAGGATCCAAGCGCAAGTGCAATATAAGGTTTTATTTAGTAACCACAATAACGGAGACACAAGGTGATCAATCCACGGGGTCACGGTCAAGATCAGAGCTCTTCTCCAGAGGCGCTCCTTCCACTACAAATTGGATCATCCACACAAATACAGAGCCGATAATGGTTTTTATGAAATGTGCAACCATGTTATTAGTTAGAATGTTTAATTGCACAATTACTATGTGCAGTTGAGTTGAATTGAATCAAAACTGGCATGTTTGATGTGAGATTTAATCTTGCTTACCCTTGATCACCCTTGAATCCCGAGGGTGTTGATTATCATTGCTTGTACGTGGAGTGTCCTTGGAACTAGACAACACTTAAGAGACAGAGAAAGACATAACGATAAAAAAAGAATAAAAGACAGACAGATGTGTACAAACACGTTTTGCTCCGAGGCATTTTCTCCTTAGATGGAAGGGCCGAAATTGAGAAGAACGACTGCATCTTCCCAGGACTGTCAGTGGAGTGTTTTATGTTGTGTTTGTGACTATGTGTGTATGAGTATGTGTGTGTTCTATAATGATGGGCACCTTGAAGAGTTCAGATGAGGTCAGATTCTCAGCACTGCAGGAACCTTTTACCTGAGGAGACAGACGTGTGTTTGGTCTAGCTGAATGTAAATGAGTACGTCCAGGTGTGAAACAGCAGATAAAATAACAGAGACAAAGCGTAGAACACAGATGGAGAGATAAAAAATGACACAAATGTACCTTCTAGAAACAGACTCAGTTGTGAGGACTAAATTCTAATTAAAGTAAAAGCTTTTACAAGAAACATGTTACATAATTGCCATATAAAAGTAACTAGTTATGCTACATAATTACTTTGAACATGATATATATATATATATATATATATATGTATACACACACACACACACACACACACACAGAGCCCCAGAGTATATATTATATTATTATTTACTATATTATTATATCATACTGGTAACACTTTACAATAAGGTTCCATTAGTTAATTGTTAATGCACTAACATTAACTAACAATGAGGTTGAAGTATTTATCAATATTTGTTAATATCAATTAATAAAAATACAACTGCTTATTGTAAACTTATAAATTCATGTTACCTCAGGTACATTAAATAATATTAACACATACAACATTTGATTTTAAAGTATTAATAAATGTTGAAATTAACATTTACAAAGATTAATAAATGCTTTCGAAGTATTTTTCATTGTTAGTTCATGTTAACTAATGGAACCTTATTGTAAAGTGTTACACCATTATATTACAGCTAAACATATACAATTTTATATTATTAGAATATCTTATAGCAGTCGCTATAAAACTGTGCATTATATATTTTCAGTCCACATTCAATCCAAGCTGTCACTCGGGTAGTAAATGTGGTCTGACAACCAGCGTACCGTGGAAAAAAAGGAGTGGCTACAAACAGCATCGCAACAAACCTCTAAAAGCACAAACAAAATATTTGTTCTCCACATGGATGAGTCAGTGCAAACTCATTTACAGAAAACATTCTGAGAATCATGTCATGCCGATTATGATTCTGAAATGCTATGAAGGCAACCTGCAGACAATAAAAATAACAGTAAGACTGTTAAAATAAGAATGGTTTATTAAGTTTCATTCTGGTAATTGTCATTCATGATTCGTTTACATGTTTGTAATCATTCTAAGGTAATCACGATTGGTACTGCTGTTTCCAACAATGATAAATGCTTTCGTTCTTGCCCACCCCATTCTCACCAGCTAAAACTCTCACGCAAGCTTGAGTATTTAAAACCTACAAATGTGTATCTAAATGCATACGAAAATGCCAAAACGCGCACACTTTCATACGATCCCCTGTAAAGTGCACACTCATAAGACACATACGCAGAAACATTTACATAGACATTCACTCTTGACATTGTCTGCAGCGGTCTGAGGAATGCTTATTCATTAAATTCATTCGTTACTGCATTGAAGCCCCGCCCTTTCAAGAAACCCCTCCCTAAAAGCCCTCCCAGCCCCGCCCACCAATATAGACTACAACAATCTCACACTGTCCTATAATAATGACTCTCCTTATGAAGATAATGCACCTATTTCAACTGAGAGCAATGGATGAGATGCATTAAAGATTTTTTTCTGTAACTATGAGTTTTGACTCAATTTGCTGGCACATGAACAGAAATAAAGGCTATGAAACGAACAAAAACAAACTAAATAATTTGGCATTAGCAAAGATGAGGAAAGATCCCTCAAAAAAGCAGACAAAACTCACAAAGTTTCAAAAAAGGATCAAATGATCAATAAATAACTCAATAAATTAAGCATATAAAGTAACATACTCAAAGAGCAGTTAAATATGTATCATACAGTAAAAACTAATTCTGCTCTGCAATTCTTTCGATATAAAACAGCGAATTGCAGTTTATGACTCGACCGCTCTTACAAAAATGGCCATTATGCTAATCAGTGGCACTGGCCAATCCAGTACCTTCCCATGATGACACGTACATACTATAGCAAATAAAGTATATCTATTATCTACCCTTCATTCGGTCCGTCTCGATTCTCTTTTGTTATGTGCGCTGCTATGATGACCAAACTCTTTCGGTCACACAATGTACAAAAGTGATGGTCTCTGACCGATAATCTGTCTCTAGTTTCCAAGTTCAGCAATGGAACTAGGGAACTAGATGGAAAGCGTTCCCATTACAGCTCACAAACGAGACTCCAGCCCGGCAACTAGCAGAAACAGCAGCCGTGCCTTTCTGTGAACGATTCATAAGCCTAACATCTGAACTTAGTGACTGGCAAATGAGTTTTATTGATCTCTGCTGCAACACTATCAATGACTGACACATATTGCAGTCATATAGGTATGGGTTGTGACAGAATGTTAAGACAGGATCAAAGGTCTCCAATACTCCTCGAGTCCCTCAGTTGAGATCCAGCGGTCAAAGCACTGAGCACTATGACGCTTGTCATATCCATTTGAGCTCATGTCAATCTCAGAATGTCCACCTCAAGAGCTGCCCCAGTCTGGATGGGTTCATTGAAGATGAGAACAGACGTAGCTAGAGGCAGAGACCTCACTGTCTAACCGGATTCGTTTTTTTCTCTCCGCGAGTATGTTTGAGAAGAGTGGACGTTCTGTCACAAAGGCAAATCCTGAAATCGATGCATGTCATCCTTAATCGTAAGGTCCAAAATTGTGGAGACAAAGGCCACTATTTGGGTGCGGTAGATCTACAATTAGCTCCCACGTTTAGGGCTCGACTAGTGGTTAATCTGTTCTGACTGGATAATCTCCCGCACAGGTTGAACGAAAGGCGATCTTTTTCAGAGAGCTCGGGACTGCTGGCTCAGAAATGTCAGAGAGAGAGGGAGAGACGGTTGCTAGGACACGAGGAGAGCAGCGAGGAGAAGCGTCGCCACAGTGATTAACAGCCGGTCTCCAGACGGACTGCTGCCGCTGACACTCTTCTCCAGTTTAGGGATCTCAGGGTTAAACTCATCTGAGAGAGAGAAAGAGAGATCAAAGAAAGAAAGAAAGAAAGAAAGAAGTTAGTGAGCATCTAAAAACCTGAATGAAAGCATCATGGTTTCCACCAAAATATGAAGCATTGATAATAATAAGAAATGTTTCTTGAGCAGCAAATCAGCATATTAGAATGATTTCTGAAGGATCATGTGACACTGAACTCTTACTGACTCCAAACCTTTGAATAGTAGTATATGAAATGTGATTTTATTTCTTATTTTAAACTTTCTCACAATTACTGCTTTGTGTACTCTGAGGTGGAAACCAATACCACATCCATTCTCTAATTGAAATGTCGGGAAATTAAGGGTTGGAAATGATTGAAAAAAGAGAGGGGGAATGAGAATGTGATGGGAACATCACTCTAGGCTGGAGCTGAACCTGCATACCTCACATGAGCACCATGGCTCAGTGTCAAGAACACATGTATTTACCATTAAGCAATTGCAACCAAAGGAAAAAAGTTAGACCTTAAAGTTAGATGCTTACATAGACACTAAATGATCACCTACTAAACATCAGCAAATGACAAAAGGGAGCAAGGGAAATAATGATTCCTCTTTGAGTAATGTCATTACCTACAGCAACTGTAATGGTTTCCCCTCAGCCTTCTCCAAATATAAGGAAGATAAAACACATCCATTCATTTTCTGTATTATTACTGGCCCCAAAGCTCTATACCATTCTACAAGGGTTATTGATGATGAAAATAATCACTTAGAAAGAGAGAGAGACAGGGAAAAGGGGAAATAAAGGCAGCAGAGAGGAGGAGAGATAGCGAGAGAGAAAACTTGTCTATTAAAACAGGAGATATAATTGTAGAGAGAAAACTGGGAAGGATATCAGACAGAATTAAACAAAGAAAATGTGACATTTCTTATCTGCAGCAGCCACGCTGTATGTTGATAAAGGACGCTCGGGCAGTTAGAGGTTAAACACGTTGCTGTGATAGCAGACACAGAGCTACACACAGCTCAATGGACGTTTCAGCAGAGCCGTGTCAACACATCATGCAAAAGTCTGGAATTTTTTATTGTTGATGCTCACAGGTAAAAATCCAACTGGACTGCTTCTGCTCTCTGTGTGACAAAGTAGGACGTGTTCCTGGTTCAACATCTTTTGTTGGGCCTGGAATAACATTCCTGCCAAACAAATATAGTCTTATACCCTAGTGGCGCTCAACTAGTTTTGCTTAAGAAAACAGATTTGACGATGGACAACAAGTGCTGATCCAACACTGTACCAGAATTGTTTAGAGTGCAAAAGTAAACAAAAATGTTTTAGCTGTGAATCCAAGCACTGTAAAATATTGTAATTGTAGCAGCATTTAACTTTATGTATTTTTTGCAGAATTATTCTAGCAACCACTGCTGCCAAATCATAATTTACGAAGCATAATTTACCAGCGTAAAAAATTAATTAATGGACTCACAACAATGGACAACATGGTGAAAAACTAGACTAATAGCTCTACTGGAGCAATGGGGCAGTGGTTAGTGCATGTCACATTGCATGTCTCGTCTTAGGCCATGCAGATTTGAGTCTACCCTGTGACTACGCTGATCTCACTTGCTAGGCCATCCTCTTTTTCTCGGACATGTCCTGGCCAGGATTTCTAAATTGTCTAAAAAGTCTAATTTTGACTGTTTTGCTATTGTTTTCATACTTACTGAAGGTAATGACTGAAAAGTAGTTTGACCAATAGCGTGTAGGCATTGTACATGACAGGGGCATGCAAGAAGGTGGGATCTAAAGAGAACGGTCAAGGCAATGCAAACACATGTACATATAATGTATGAGGACTGTAGAGAGCACGTCAATAGGAAAACAAAACCTGGACATTTTGGGCAATTTAGAAATCCTGACCAGGATTTGTCCAGGAAAGAGAGGCTAAATGGTCCCCAACCATTCGCCAATCATTTCTAGATATGTCGACAGTAGCCTATTAGTCAAATGAAGAGGAAAAAGCCAAAACTTGCTTTAGCTTTCAGCTGTTTCACCTTTTTGGCTTAAACTAGCACAGAACTTCTTTCCTTGTGACTTGGCAAGCTGAAATAAGAAACATCAGGTCTCCTGGGTCTCTAAGGCTATGTTAAACTTTGGAAGTCTTTTCAGAATAGTGCTTATCTTATCATATCAGTTTCATCGAGGATAATTCCTGACTGGAACACACTATATAATGTGTACTATGCACAGACCTAAACAGAACGAATGTTTTAATGCAGCGTCAGCACAAATGATGGTATTATGGAGCTGTTGACAGAAAACAAAGTAAAACGTACTTTTCAAGACAGCTGCAATTGGATTTTTATTTATAACAGGGTGGTTGACCTGTCAGCAATGTGTTTTTTATTAAATACGGTTTGGGAAAGCTAACAGGATGCTGACAGCTTTAGAAGTAGGGGGATCTGCGTACAAACAGAGGGTCATTTGTTCATGTGGTGTATGTGTGTCATAAATGGATACAAGAATCAGTTTCCATTTTAATGGCCTGTGCATTAACACACACACACACACACACACACACATACACGAACAGACATACTGCTAGAGTGCTTTTGGATGCCTAGGGCGGTGTAAAGTGCCAGCTATTTGTTTTGTTATGTGTTTTAGCAAGGGCATGTGGATGATCCTTCCTGTGATCCTAATGTGAACTTGGGTTTCTGGGTATTCGCTGGACATACATTTCAGATGCATTACAGCTCGATTTCTCCGAATAAAAATAACATTTGAGTGAGCATGAGAAAGCAAAAATAGAGAGAATTAATACATGCATTCATTTGTTTGTAATTGGCCATCCCCTGGTCACAGGACGTTCCTATCTGGCCAAATGGTTATCCTGGTTTTATGAGGAATTTCAGATGCTTACGAGGCAGATTAAAATGGGAAACAGCCATATTTCTGAGAGCAGATGAACATTTGTGTTACATACTTTTATAAAGCCAATGTGTGTGCAGGCATTGTGTTCACTCACCAATGTCATGCAGTTTGGGTCTGACAGTGTAGTCAGGTGGACTCTGGTTTGAGTCGTCATCTGCATTAGAGGCTGTAGCAGAGAAAACACATGATCTGAGTGCATACAGTGGCCCCAAAAACTATTTGGACACTTCAGGCATAGTTCAACCAAAAATGAAAATTTCCTGAACATTTACTCAACCTCAGCCCATTTAAGATGTAGATGAGGTTGTTTCTTCATCGGAACAGATATGGAGAAATGTATCATATCACCACTTGCTCACCAATGGATCCTCTGCAGTGAATGGGTGCCGTCAGCATGAGAGTCCAAACAGCTGATAAAAACATCACAATAATCCACAAGTAATCCACACCACTCCAGTCCAGTCCATCAATTAAACTCGTGAAGCGAAAAGCTGCATTTGTAATAAACAAATTCATCATTAAGACATTTTTAAATTCAAACTTTTATCCATAATATCGCTTTCTCCAGTGAAAAAGTCATCTAATCTGAATCAGGAGAGAAACATGTACAGACCAAGCACTGTTTACATGTGGAAAAACAGACCAAAATCAATTCTAAACAAGTATGCTGGTGGGGTTTGATGTGAGAGGACAACAGGGGATGGACTTTTTGACTGGAGGAAGCATTATTATGGATTATGGCAAGAAGTGACTGTTTAATGTTAAAACACCTTAATTATGGATTTGTTTATTGCAAACAAACAGCTTTTCGCTTCATAAGACATGAATTGATGGACTGGAGTCGTGTGGATTACATGTGGATTATTGAGATGTTTTTTATCAGCTGTTTGGACTCTCATTCTGACGGCACCCATTCACTGCAGAGGATCTATTGGCGAGCAAGAGATGTAAAGCTAAATTTCTCCAAATCTGTTTCGATGAAGAAACAAACTCATTTACATCATGGATGGCCTGAGGGTGAGTAAATTGTTAGCAAATTTTCATTTTTGGGTGAGTAATTCATTTAAACATTTATGAATGTCCGTGTATTAGATAACAAAACAACAATACAGTAAAATCACAGTAAAATGCAGAAGCTCGAACAAGTGAGGTGTGAACTCTATATTAAGGTAATAAATTAGATGCATTTTGCAACAAAAGCATGTCATAGCAGAATTTTTCTTAGTATAATAAATAAATAAAATTCTGTTTATGAACATTTGTGAAACTCACATAGGGAAAATTAAGGTAAATAATTTTTGTTTTAACTTTCAGTCTATGTATTATTTGCATTTATTCATTCATAGACTTTTTATAATACTCAAAAAAAAATGCTGCTATGGCATAGCATGCTTTTGTTTACTGCAAAAATGCATACATTTATTAGCTTAATATAGAGTTTACATTTTAAAATTGAATTCACATTTGCTTGCTATCCCTTATTTAAACACGACTCATTCAAACTTCAAAAGATAGTTATGTACAGTACGCAAACAAAGCATTTACAAAAATATACACACACATATATAACTGAGATATATCAGTGATTAATGCAATTAAACTTGTGTTGAAGAGCTGCATGAGTTATGCTATCAACGAAAGAGAGAGCAAAGAGTGACAAGAGAAACTGAAAGAGAGAGCAGGGGATGAGAGGACCTCTCCACACATGGCTCTGATCAAAGAGGCCACAGAACGTGTTCAAGCATTAATAGTTTGCTCACACACAAACACACATTAAACCCATCATCATGACCTCCTCTTGTGGTTTGCATGCTTTTTGTGTGTGTGTGATGATGCTCACCTGTAGAACAGCAGACAAACACCCGCAGTCTTAAACAGCTGTGTCCATGGTGATGGATTGGTGTAGCTGCAATAACACATGACAGCACAAACATTAACCTACTGCCACCTACTGGACAATAACATGCACTGACATCACTTTAAGGATCTGAATGTGAAACTCATTTACTACTTAAGGAACACACACACACACACACACACACACACACACACACACATGTCTGGTCAGCTATCCTTGTGGGGACTCTCCATAGGCGTAATGGTTTTTCTACTGTACAGACCGTATATTCTATTGCCCTACACCAACCCTACCCCTAAACCTACTCCTCACAGGAAACTTTCTGCATTTTTAGATTTTCAAAAAACTTAATTCTGTATGATTTATAAGCTTTTGTACCCGTGGGGACCACAATTTAGGTCCCCACCGTGACACGAGTCCCCATGAGTCTGTGTGTAGTCAGGTTTAAGTCCCCACCAGGATATATAAACCAGTACACACACACACACACACACACATTTTTATATATTTATTTTTTCTAACCCTAACTCTAACCAAAACATTTGTTTGTAGAGTGTGACTTAAATATTTGTGATTGCATTTCACATGATTAAACAAACAAAAAAGCAGTACAGCCCAAAATTAATTTTTCATGACCATTTCTGCTCTTACTCTGGCCATTACAATTTAACAAGCTGTTTTGAATACTGTACCTTTAATTCTTCCTTATTTCATATGCAAAGTTAGTCATTCTGTGGTCATTACATGAGTAGTAACCAGGTTTAGAGATTGTCTATGTATTTCAATGAACACTATTTCAAAAGAGCAAAGCAAATGCTATAGCCCCTTTAAGGTATCCAAGGCAAGGTTCCTTCTGCTGAGATAAAACCAACACTAAATAAATAACATTGATCAAAACAGATACGGTGTACGTTTATTAAATGATCCATTTCCACAAGTTGCAGATCCCATCTGTGATTGATGAATTGGCCCCAAACGAACTCCCCCGAGCTCAGACAAAGATAACGTTTCTTGTTTTCAGGTTGATAAACATATGGGCCACGTTATCATAGAAATGTTTGAGTGTGATGCCATTTTTCAATACCAAACAGTTGTCATACTATCGCTAATAACCTGCCTACAGACCGCACTAATGAAGACGACTATTAGCATTAGGTGGGACATGCATCAGAAAATCATCATTAGCAATGCTCTATTAACACTCGGTTTATAGCCTGCATTAAAAAGTTTTCAATCAAAACGGGTGCGCTGACTGCGCTCTAATTGGTAGTGATTGACCCAAATGCCAGAAAGACTGATGATCGGCAGCCGCTCGTAATGTCCATATCCCAATAGCAAGCTCCTCTGGATGGCGAAGCTGTCACTATTTGACCAACAAGGCAGTTTTGAGAGCAAATGGACTGCTGTGAGAGATGCATTTGAGCCTGTCCTTAGGAGCTTTCTTTTATTCTCAGTTGTGATTTGGTAAAATGAATGAAACATGGCTGTGTTTGAAATAACTCACTGGCTTGCTTCAAACTACCGCCTCATAACAATAAAGCCCTTTAAAGACGATCACTGGGGTTGCAAATTGTTTTCTTTTGTGTTAACTCCATCTGTATGACTTATCTGTAACCCCTGCACATAATGGTGCTAATGCAGAAAGTTCTCACTTTTTTTATTTTAACTACTTTAAAAACTCCACGACAGGAAGGGCCATGATTGGCTCAGCGGTACAATCGCCACATCATGAAAGGGAGGATCCTGTCAAGGCACTTCTGTTAACAATGCACTAAACCTCCATCTGCTCACCAGTATGCCTTTCCCTGTGTAATAACCTTTTCTGTCAGTGGAGTTTAGATAAAGTTAGCTTACTGCAACCTGGAACTTGCCAGCTAAAGAACACTTTAAAGGATTATTATGTTAAATACAAGTTAAGCTCTATGGACAGAATCTGTGGCATGCTGTCAATAACCACAGAAATAATTTTGACTTGCACCTGAGTTTGTTGACAGTAATCCATTTGTAATTGTGCAACGTTTGCCCCAGATACTTCCATTGTTAACTTGTTTTTACAAACCGAGGAGCATTTTCTGAGGTAGCGTGCCGCCAGCTTTCCATCCATGTGTTCTTATGCAAATATTGGAATGCTGCATTAAAAGTTGTGAGTGACGTGAAATATTAAGATTCTATTCTATTTGCAGAATTTGCACACAAACGTACACACTCGCTTGAGTATAATGATTATTTAGTGAGACAACAATGCTCATAAACTACAACTACAACACAATTACTGAATAAATTCCCGAATGTGTGTCAAAAACAAAAATGTGACTTTGATTCAGTCATGTGACTGATTAATTCACTGAGATAAGTATAACAGTTTAATTCACTTAGGCTAGTGTCACCTTCCAGAATGTTCTAGCATATTGTTGTTCAAGGCCTAAAGCATCTGCCAAAGATTGCTAGCAAAAATTTAATTCTTCAAAGCATGATTTATTATATTTAATGAAAGTGGTTTCCCCACTGGCTCCAATTTATATTTTTATTTTGAGCCAATTTCCCCAAAAGGGACAAGATACCAATTTTTTTTTTTTTTTTGCACAAATTAAATGTTTGACTTGGATGGACACATAGTTACTAATGTTATTAATTGAGCTTAATTTGTATTTGAAGTTAAACTTAGTAATTTTCATATGTGGGTGGCCATGTGAACATACCAGCAGGGCTACTATTATTAACTAAAACCAAAACCATAAAAATATTTTTGTTACTCAAAAAAAACAACAACAAAAAAAAGACAATTAAATTAACATTAACTGAAATAAAATAACATATAAAAAACTCCAAGCTTATTTTACTTCAGCTACTTGTCAAAGCAACATCAAGTCAATGTACCATAACAATAATGAACAAAATTACTAAATGTTTAACACAAATTAAAATAAATACTAATTCTAAATATAAAAAAAAAACTATAATAGTATCTCAATGACACTAAAATAACACTGCATTCCAGCCTCTATGAGTCGACCCACTATTTCCCCAAAAGGGACAAAATCCCAATTTTTTTTTTTTTTTTTGCACAAATTAAATGTTTGACTTGGATGGACACATAGTTACTAATGTTATTAATTGAGCTTAATTTGTATTTGAAGTTAAACTTAGTAATTTTCATATGTGGGTGGCCATGTGAACATACCAGCAGGGCTACTATTATTAACTAAAACCAAAACCATAAAACTATTTTTGTTACTCAAAAAAAAACAAAACAAAAAAAAGACAATTAAATTAACATTAACTGAAATAAAATAAAATATAAAAAACTCCAAGCTTATTTTACTTCAGCTACTTGTCAAAGCAACATCAAGTCAATGTACCATAACAATAATGAACAAAATTACTAAATGTTTAACACAAATTAAAATAAATACTAATTCTAAATATAAAAAAAAAACTATAATAGTATCTCAATGACACTAAAATAACACTGCATTCCAGCCTCTATGAGTCGACCCACTCCATGTAAAATAAAAGCTTTTATTAGGTAACTGATGTATATTTTAAATATTGTTTTTAATTATTATTCCTTTTCTTAATCAATAGAACTTTAATACATCAGTGTACTTACAATTTTTGAGGTTTGTGAGTCTGATGATTTGTAGGTGAAACCTAACAACTAAACAGACAAAATAAAATAAAAAACTGTAACAAAAATAACACTAGAAAGCAACAAATACTCACATATATAGTAGTACTCATGACCCACGTTGAATTCATAGCCTAGCGAGAAGGCGCTGTAACGCTGGAATTTCTCGGAGAACTTAATTGGCGCGTGGGGGGCGTGCGGCCGGTTGCACTCCCAGCGTTTGAAGCCCATCTGTGGGTCGCAGGTGCGGTAGCCTCGGTAACTGACCATGTAGAGAATGTACTGCTCGGCCACACCGCGCTCTAGCGCCCCCCGCTGGCTCTGGTTGTAGTGTGGACAGTAGATGTCCAGGTAGTCGTTAACACTGACCTGTACGGTGTAGCCCTCTCTCCGCAAGCTGAAAGAAAGACAGAGGAAGGAATGGGAAAAAGAGAAACAAACAAAACATTATTATAAGATTACAGTGTTTTTGCTAATCGAATGGCATCAGTGTCATATGCTTTAGATTTCCTTATGGACAGACAGAAAAAAGGAAGAAAATGGAAGATTTATCTCATTGACCTTTTTAAAACGTATAAGTCCTGTTTGAACGGAAAAGCAGTTATATTTCAATGCTTTGCCACAGCACATTAAAGGCAGAGTAAGTGATTTCTGGTAGCCAATGTTGATATTTGAAATCACCAAAACAAACACGTCCCTACCCCAAAAGGGTCTTGCCCCTATTTTGATAGCTCCGCCCCACATATACGTACGCAACCCAGGCAACGATTAGTTCTGTGAAACAAAGCAAAACCAATGTTACACCGTGTCTACGGACGTGAGCGGCGCGGCGCAACAAATCCCCGACAGAAAACTGCTGCCGGGTTCTATTTATGACGTGCTGACACACATTTCAAATGGTTTTCAACGGTCGTTTGATCGCGTCCAGTGTAGGCAGACTTTAGCTGTTGTAGACACGGTGTTACTCACCTATCGATAAGAAACAAAGCAACCTCGGCGACCGATCGCAGGCCTCCGCTCCTTGAGTTCTCTCCAGCGCTGGAAAGCTGATCCGATATTTACACGGGTCCTACTTCTTGCCTTATCGTTCCGCAGACGTTTTCCTCTTTTGTTTTTTATCCGCCATCTCTATCTTTCTGTCACTCGGCTCGTCTAATGTCCGTCCCATGCACTGAACGCGCTCTCCTCCACATCACGAGTAGACACGCCCCTTATTGCTGATTGGCTACAAGTTTGTTTTGCGATTCGGCCCGAAACAGTTTTCTAAAGTGTTTTTGAAAAATCACTTACTCTGCCTTTAAACCAGATCATTTTTCATGCTTAATGCTTGTGAGGCACTGATCAAACAACAGGGGGCAGTGTTTCACTTTGTGGCGGCCCTTCTCATTTGACTCTCTGTCTCGCACAAGCTCACACAGAAAAAAAAAACGTGCTAATACACACTTGTGCGCTTCTAGGTCAGGTCCCGCAGGAGATTATTATTCAATTACAAAACGAGGATCAGAAATGTCACCCACTCCTTCTCCATTCCTCTTCCGCTAACCCCTTTCTCCTTGGTTTCTGTGTCTTTCTTCACACTTCCTTTCTCTTTTTTACACACTTTCTGTACTACTACACATGCGAGCTGTTTTTTTTTTTTTGCTTTCTAAAATGCGCATTATTCCCGTGTCCTCTTTAAAGCTCCACTCCTTTTTTACTCACTGTATCTGCTTTTTTTGCTACAGCTTTACCCCCGTTTTTTAATCAGTGTCTTTCTTAGCCTTTTATCAGTACACAACAGATGGCAATCACATCCTTGATTAGGGCTTTCTCTCTCTCTCTCTTGCTCACACACATGCAGACTGAATGAAAGATTTTTTGGGGAGGGATGCTTCAAAGCTGCTATATTTAGGGAGAGGGAGCAGGCAAGGAGAGGAAAAGAGAAAGATAAAGGGAGAAGATGAAAGAGTGAGGAAAGATGAAATAAAAGTGCAGAAAAACAAAGGATGAGATGGGTACAGAGAGGCGCAGAATTGGGACGCTGATGTACTTGACACTCCTGAAGATGATGATTTTGAGGGGTGTGAGTGTCTGTGTGTGTGTTGGTCAGGTTTTATTTACACTGCAGGGATCAAATGTCCCCAAAAAGGAGAGTAAAAACTAAAATGTCACATTGTAAGCACCAGCCAATAGCTCCCATGAGAAAAATCGCTTCATAAAGATAGTAAAATAATGTCCCAGGATGCATCTCATAGGGTTGGTTGAGTGAATGTCCAGACAAAGACACTTAAATTTAAGAAAGGGTTGATTTGTTGAACATTTTGATTACTACATAATTCCAATCCTTCATTTGTTACTTCACAGCTGTAATGACTTTATTGTGATTTTAAAATGTGAAAAATTGCCATAATAATGATTAAAAAACTGAATGAACAGATGTGTCCACACTTTTGACTGGTAATAACAACTAGATTTGCTAACTTCCACTGAATTAGGCCTCTCTCCAAATCTCTGCCCTCTAATGGCATGTCATCAAACTGAAACACATAAAAGGCAGAGAGTGTTTCTGATCGGCTAAAAATGTTGGGTCATTCACTTGACTTGCCATTTCTCCAAGTCTAGAGCATGTTTCAGAAATAAGTGTGATTTCTCAGGACACCTATATCAGTGATATCTGTCAGGTTATAGGACAATTTATATATATATATATATATATATATATATATATACAAAGCTGTGACAAGAAATGGATTCATTGAAGACGATTCATTGAAAAGAATAAATTAGAGTCACCTCTCATTTCAAAAACTCACATGAACACTTACAGGATAGCCAAGAAAGATGTCAAGATCTCAAGAGAACAACGATTTAAATTTGCCTGTTCCTCACACAAAGCTCTCATACGACTTCAGAAGACTTGAAATATAGTGCCCAAGTCCACTTTGATGTTACTTTTGCATCCATTTTGGAACTTGAATGCTTCAGTTCCCTGTAATTACATGAAAAAGAGCAACCAGCACAAGTCTTCAAAATTGTTGCATCTTCTTCTTTTGTTGCATGTAAGAAAAAGGAAGTCTTCCAAAAAGATCTGGAACGACATGAAGGTGAGCAGATGACAGAATTTCTGGGTGAACTATCCCTTGAAATGTGTGCGTGATTGTGCAGTCGCTGCATTAAAAGTAACCTACAGTAATGTGCATGTGTCTTCCTGAACAATTACAATATGTCTCAGTATCATTGTGTCTCACATCAGCATGCGTTTATGCTCTTCAGTGTACATGCTCTATAGGTGAAGTGTTACGCAACTATGTGTCTGCCTCATGACACCCACAGACGAGAGAGAGAGAGAGAGAGAGAGAGAGAGAGAAAGAGAGAGATGGAGCGCTCCCCAGGGACGTGCACATGTATTGAAGTGTGAAAACGGAGTAATGGTTTTCCCTCTTCTTCTCTTTTCTCACTTTCCCATTTTGCTGTCTCATCATCATTCTCTTTTCAGTGGGAAGGAAAACCTTTTTAGTTAGAAGTCAAAGCGGGAGGGAGGGAGAGATAGAGAAAGTGATAGGAATAAAAGTGATAGATAGGAGCAACATATCCAGCTAATAATCGTTTCAGGTTACAATAAACAGCCGTCAGCATAAAATGCTTCAGGGGCAAAGTCTTCACACTAACCGCTAAAGAAAATCTTCAATTTACACACTTTATTCATTGAGACACGTAACAGATATATTGAAGTGGTCCCACTATCTTTTTTTTTTTTTGTATCTTTTCATTCATGTTTTATCCTTTTTAAAAATTATTTTACTTTTCATGTTTTTCCAACATATTCCTTTTGATAAAATAAAAAAAAAATTCCTGATCTTTTTTTTCTCTCTTTTTTATTTATTTAAAAGATGACATACATACACTAAAATGACATACGTAGAATGACAGAAAATTACTGCTGGCTGAACTGGAAGCTTTGTAATCTGCATTAGCATCAATGCTTCAACGTATCTTTGCACTAATAGCTGTGCCACAGTACAAACCTGGTTCCTTATTGTTGATATTTTTTACTCTGCTGTCTATGTCAGTTAAATTACACCTCAGTACACTTGCCTGACTAACAAGTACCACATACTATTACATGCTATACAACTACCAATTACAGTACATACATATTTCATACAGCTGAATGATTAGCACCTTGCCAACCTTTTAAAAATGCATTCACCACATCTAACAGCCTTTTAACAGCTCTATAAAAGTTGATAACGCTCAGATATCCATCCTGAACTATTTTGTTTAGTCCACGCCAGGCTCCACACATCATTATATGTTTTTATCACACAACTGCAGCTCTGTGCACAGTTTGCTTCTGAGCTTTAAACATTGCAAAAATGGTATCTGACGCAGTCTTGGCTGGCTATTACTGTGATGGATTCCCTGTAAAAGGTTAAAGCTATAACACAGAAAATTCACTCCCGGGGGCAATCCGCGAATGATTCACATGGGTGGATAGAGAGACAATGTGAGAGAGACAGTGAGATAGAGAGAGAGAGGGAGATTCTCAAGTATCTACCGTACATAATCTAAAGAATCCAAAAAAAGACACATCTTCAGTGATGATGGTTGAAACTTGAGAACTGCCTCTTTCTGCTAAAATGCTTTGGGTATAAAGTGAAGTGAAGTGAAGTGAAGTGACTTGACATGTAGCCAAGTATGGTGACCCATACTCGGAATTAGTGCTCTGCATTTATCCCATCCAAAGTGCACACACACAGCAGTGAACACACACACACCGTGAACACACACCAAGCCAAGCACGCTGTTCAAATTTACTTTTAACTGCACCTGTGTTTCTAAGTGTCGGCGTTCACACCTACAGCGATTTGCAGCAACAAAGTGGCCCTCAGTCATTCATTTTCAATGAGGGCTGGTGATTTGAACGATAACAGCATTGTCAATTCAGTGTGGCTGAGCATATCTGAACAGTGTTTAAGTAGAGATGCTAGTATGCAGTTACTACCAACGGTAGAAAAAAAACTTGTGACTACCAATGGGAGACCAATGCACAAGGTCCATCTTCTATCAGAAAAAGTAGTTGAGTATAGACAAAATTGAGACATTAAAAGTAATTCCACACAATTAGACACTGATAATTGGCTCGACCAATATCTGTATCAATATTTACAGTTTTCTACTAAATCAGTTCTTTAATATCAGGTCTACCAATATATGGCACTGGTGGGTCTCTAAAGAACAGTGCCTAATAATGCCATAAAACAGCTGGGCATTCAACAGGAAACAATAGAAAGAATGTAACGTTTATTTAATACATTCTAATTTAATATATTGTTTGCATAATTACTCATTTTTATAGCCTTTCATTTTCAAGTGAGAATTTCACTGCATTTCAAGCTTAATAAGTAAAAAAAAAGA